AAAATAAATAAAATAAAAATATTAACTAAGTTAAAAATGTTAATGATGTTAATAATGTTGATCATTCATCAATCTTTGTAACGCAGTAAGATTGACTTCATATAGTATTAACGTCATTAAATCAATGTAAAAAATTGTAGTCTTAAAATAGTTTTTGATTATAAATCCAATACCTTAGCAATTTGATTTAAGATTATTTAGCTGAAGCAAATAATGATGATGAGAAATTCTACAGCTTAGATTGTGATGTATCATCAAGATTTCCATTGATAAATCTGAAGTTTTAGCAATAAAATCCATTTAATATAAAAAAAGTAAAATACTTAAACATTATTGTATAAACAATTAAAAGATAATTTGAAAATGATGAACTTTAACTTAAAATTTATTTAGAAATACAAGGAGATTACTAGAATGTGTATTTGATGTAGGGTTGATTTAGAAAATGCTTTCATTAAGTTTACAATTCAATATAGAAATCTTTTAAAAAATATGTTCTTAAAAATTAATAGTAAGTATCTATTTAAATTGACTTAAAATTTAAATTTAAAGTAATATTTATAATAGATAACTGAAAAATGAATTTATTTATCAGTTTCAAAGTTATTTCTTTTGCTGTTTCTTCAGTTGTAATTATATAATTCTTTTGGTCAGATTATTGATTGTTTCTCAAGGAATTTTTACATATTTTCACTTTTTAATTTGTTTTTAATTTATCTGAGCTTTCATCTTTTACATTGTTTTTTAGAGTACAGTAATTGTGTGATATTTTTTTTCATAAATATTCTTGCTTTTCTCTACTTGCTTCAGGTTCCATTTAGTTTTATTTACTTTTCAGTAGCTATTACTAATATTATTTTTTCCTTCTATTATCAATTATATTATTAAAAAGTAATTTTCTAATAACAAAAATGTTAGAAGCTTCTTTAGTTTAATATACACATATAAATTACAGAATTTTTATGAATAAGCTAATTTATTATTTAATAATTATAAATAATTCAAACAGGAATTTTTGCTAGATATCATTGTTAATATCTGGATTTTTAGATTCCTGAGAAATGATTACTGATTAAAAAGTTTGCAACCTGACGAAACTTGTTCTGATTTTCTTGATAATTTTCAAAGTAATTTGGTATATACAGTAACGACATAAGTATCAGGCTTTAAACCACATAGCAGGGCCATTTTCATTAGACCTATAACTATCTAATCAGTCTCTACCGTGTTCATTAACCTCTGTAATAAAAATAATGTATTTTCAAAGCAATTGCAGTAGTATCAGAAGTTGACTTGATGTCCAAAGTGCCGGTCATATTATTCCATTCAACATTGTCACGTAATTTTCATTGATTAAAAATGATTTTTATTGGTCCACTCAGTCATGCCCAAATTTAGATAAAAACTTCAGATTTCCCCTTTTTTACTGACGTCCTCCCAATGGATGATAATCACTTTCACCATTAGGTGGACCACTTTGACTGAAACCAACGGTTGTGCCGCCATTAAAAGTCTCAGTATTTGGTTGGCCATATTTTCAAGTGATCTTTGTTTATAATCATTACTTGCCTCTTGGTTATTTTCAAGTCATGTAAGGATGCTAGAATTGCATCTTTAAGTAGATTAATCGGAAATCTCTCGTCCTATTGAATAGGATTTGAATTTGAATATCGATATATATAATTAAATTGTCAAAAAAAATTACTTCAAGAGTGTTAAGTAAGTTAGATGCATAAATTTCCAATCTATTTCGTGCCTGTATTGCTTGCACAGCTTTCTCATCAACTTCACGACTTCAACTACTATTATTATTATATAGGTTTTTTAGTAAAAATTTTATTACGTAAAACTTCGTTATAAAAATTTGAAGTGTGATTACATGCCCATACGTTCTATTGACAATCTACTTTGTTATTCGTGATGGTTTTCTTCGATCTTCCAGTTTTTTATCAACAGCGGACACCTACAATCAATTCAAGTTAATATTATATGGGACATTTGCAATAGGAAGGGAAAAAATAAATTTACTTTTATATGCCAAATATGATTTTCCCATATTATAAAATGGCAACAAGTATAATAAATGAATATCCAAAAACATGCGTTTAAGATACCGTCTGCATTAAGATCAAAAGTGATTTTGATTTGTGTGGCACACCTTTTGTGCTGATGGAATTCTAGTCAATTCGAATTTTCCGAGCAAGTTGTTATCCTTTATACGGGCATTTTCTCCTTCATAAACGTTAATAAGTATTTCTGATTGATTTTCAAATTCTGTTGAAATATTTCAGATTTCTTAGTAGGTACTATAGTATTACGTTTAATAAGTGGTATGATGACACCGTCGATACAAGAGATAAAGCAGCGACATCGAATAAAAGATAATCTTTGTTTTTTTTAGAAGTATCACTAGATAAAAATTTTCGTTTAATTTCTTGTACGAAATGATTTACAGTACAAGTCGATTGTTGAAATCTTCATCGCCAATAAGCAACAGATATACTTCAAAAATTCCTCCTTCGATATTTAGGAGGGAGATATAAAAAGATCTACCACCTAAATCATAGACAAGAACGTTTCGTTCACCACAGGCTTTCTTATTTAAACCATAAGCAATAGCTGCCGCGGTTGCTTCATTAATTATACGTAATACCTTTAAACCAGCGATTTCACCGCATCTTTTTAATGATTGTCATTAAAGTAAGCTAGTGAATGCCAGCAAAATTAATCATTAGAGTTATACAATAGTTACACTGCATAATAAAATTTTTTTTAACAATAAATAATGATTTTTTTTTTTTTTTTATAATGAATAATAATGTTGATCTACCGAGTGCGTTTTTTTTTTAAAAAAAAATTTCTTTACATTTATAACACCGAGTGCATTTTTTTCTCCAAAATTTTTTATCATTTCGCTTGCTAAATATCTAATTAAAAAAATCAAAATGGAAACTTCCAAGAATTTAAATGAGTTTATTGA